GCCCAGGGCAGATTAAGGATCAATACTGAGCCCCCAAAATGCTGCACTGTGCGTTGAATTCCTGGGATTTGGGGTTGTCCTTCCTACAGCAAATTGAGGAGGTTCGCCAGGTGGGCTCCTACAAGAAGGGCACGATGACCACGGGGCACAACGTGGCAGATCTGGTGGTGATCCTGAAGATCCTGCCCACCTGTGAGTGCTGGCTGGCTGGGATCAGGTGGGATCGGAGCGACTCCCAGCCCTGCTCCAACCCTTCTCCTTTTCCTTCTTTTCCCCAGTGGAAGCTGTGGCAGCCTTGGGGAACAAGGTGGTGGAGAGCCTGAGGGCGCAGGACCCCAGCGAAGGTGGGACCTCTGGAGCAATGCAGGCTGAGTTCCCGTGTTCCCAGGAGTTTTCCAGCCCCTCCATGTGGAATTCCCGGTTTTCCCCCCCAGTGCTGACCATGCTGACCAACGAGACGGGCTTTGAGATCAGCTCAGCCGACGCCACGGTGAAGATCCTCATCACCACCGTGCCACCCAACCTGCGCAAGCTGGACCCGGAGCTGCACCGTGAGGGCCCGGCCGCGCTTCCCACTGGGATCCGGGGCAGAGGGAGCACCTGGTGCCCCCTCCCTGTGCCTCTCTGGGTTGGTGAACCGGGACTTTGTGCTTTTTGCAGTGGACATCAAGGTGCTGCAGAGCGCCCTGGCCGCCATCCGGCACGCACGGTGGTTTGAGGAGAACGCCTCGCAGTCCACGTGAGTTCCAAGGGAATCATGGATCCAAGGATCATGGGTCTCCTTATGGAGAATGTGGAGTGGTGTTGGTGGTGCAGGACTGACCCTCCTCCTGCCTCTGCCCCAGGGTGAAGGTCCTGATCCGGCTGCTCAAGGACCTGAGGATCCGCTTCCCCGGCTTTGAGCCGCTCACGCCGTGGATCCTGGACCTGCTGGTGGGGGACATGGATGTGGAGCTGATCCCGATCCCAATCCCAGTAGGGCTTGGGATTCTTCCCCTGAGCTGGGATTCTTCCCTTCCTGCCCTAATTCCTCTGCCCTTCCTGTTCCAGGGGCACTACGCCGTGATGAACAACCCCACCCGGCAGCCCCTGGCTCTCAACATCGCCTACAGGTCAATCCCAGGGGATAAATTCCTGCTGTGGCTCCGTTTTCCCTGTAAAACCACTGGAGCGGTGCCTGGGAGATGAATCCGGCTCCTCCAGCTGGGAGCTGCTGGCTGTATTTCTGCTGGAATGCTCCAGTTTGAACCCGAAATGTCCTGTGTGCAGGCGCTGCCTCCAGATCCTGGCGGCCGGGCTCTTCCTGCCCGGATCTGTGGGCATCACGGATCCCTGCGAGAGCGGCAACTTCCGGGTGCACACGGTGATGACGCTGGAACAGCAGGTGAAGGGGATCCCTGCAGGGGAGGGGATGCTTGGGGGGTCCCTGTCCCTGCACTGACCCCTCCCCACCCCCAGGACATGGTGTGTTACACGGCCCAGACCCTCGTCCGCATCCTGTCCCACGGGGGCTACCGGAAGATCCTGGGACAGGAGGGAGACGCCAGCTGTGAGTGGGGGTGTCCCTGTGAGAATGGGGCTGGAATCCCAGGGGTGTCCGGGTGGGAATAAAGCTGGAATCCCGGGGGTATCCAGGTGGGAATGGGGCTGGAATCCCAGGGGCATTCAGGGGGGAATGGAGCTGGAATCCCGGGGGTATCCGGATGGGAATGGGGCTGGAATCCAGCGCCACCTGTTGGGGCAGACCTGGCGTCCGAGATGTCCACGTGGGACGGGGTGATCGTGACACCCTCGGAGAAGGCGTACGAGAAACCCCCAGAGAAGAAGGAAGGGGAGGAGGAAGAGGAAAACCAGGAAGAGCCAGCAGCGGGAGAGGAGGAGGAGAGCATGGAGACCCAGGAGTGAGGGCACAGGGACACCTGGGGCAGGAGAGGGCCCCTGACTTGGCCCTGTCCGTGTTTTAAAAGTTGCACATTAAAGTGTTCCCCCTTTCCAGTGAGTCCTGGTTGGTCAGGGACACACAGGATGGATGGGAATGACACTGGTGGGGTGGCAGGAGAAGGTTCCAGAAGTTGAAAGGACCCACCTGGGGGGTGCCTGAACCCCAAATCCCACCTGAGGACACCTAAAACCCACCTGGGGCTGCCCAAACCCCAAATCCCACCTGGTGACACCCAAACCCTACCTGGGGGTGCCCTCACTTCACCGTGGGCTTCTCAAACCCCCCTGGGGCTGCCCAACGCCCCCTGCTTGTGCCCAGACCTCCCCTGGCAACCCCTGCTTTCCCCACTGTCCCCAAGGCCCCTCAGGGACGTGGCACCATCACGGACTCCAGCGTCACTTTTATTCCAGCACCCCCAAATCCGGGCACACGACTCGGGGGGGGTCCCTGCTCCCCGTGTGGCAGGTGAGGAGGGACACCCCCCGAATTCCCAAGGCTGTGATCCCGGGGATACCTGCTCCCCTGGCTCTCACTTGCCCTGGTAGCCCCCAGCCTCCAGCATCGCCCTCCTCCGTACGGTCTCCTTGGCCACGCTGTGGTTCAGCCTCCGTAGCCGCTCCTGGGCAGGAAAACCCCCCTCTGTGAGTGCCCAGGGGGGCTCTGGGACCCCCCACAACCCCTCTTTGCCTCCCAGAGCTCCACCTGGGCGTTCTGCAGGATGTTGTTGACCAGCACCACCCGGCGCCGGGCGTTGAGCAGCTTCTTCACATAGGGGTCGAGGTCAAGGGCCACCTTCTGGTCCTCGTTGATGCGGCAAAGCTCTGAGGAGGGGGCACAGAGCCAGTGAACCCCCTGTGCCCCCCAAACCTGGGGGTGAGGGGTGGCAGAGGTGACCCCTCCCCGTTTTTGGCTCACCTGTGGCCAGGCTGTCGATGTGCTCCCGCAGCTCCACCTGGCTCTCCCTGCGAGGGGACAGGGAAAACATTGGACCCCACCCCAAAGGCCCCTCAATATGGGATCTGTGTCCTCAGCACCCCCAGCCGAAAAGTCACCCCCCCAGGGGACCTGGACTCCCCTCAGATACCACAGATACCCTCTCAGCCCTACCTGCACCTCAGCCCCCGCGCTCCTCCTGCCGCTCCCGGCCCGCCCTGCCCGGTTCGTGTGGCCGTACCTGACGCTGTGGACGTGACGGTCGAGCTGTCTCACGGCGGGGCGCAGGAATTGCAGCAGCCCCTCAGCGAAGAGCTCCCGGGCCGCGGGGCCGCTCCCCACCGCCATCTTGGCCCCCCCACGCGCCGCGGGGGCTGCTGGGAAACCGAGTCCGCCGGGACGGGAAAGGCCGCGGGGACTGATGGGCAATGTAGTCCCGAGTGGGGACAGACGAGGCGCAGCTCAGGAACATCTAGAGGCACAACCGCACCGCTGACAGACAGGCCACAAACCCCAACCCCGTCCATTACAGAACGGTTAAAACAACACGTTTGGGGTCCTTTCACCTTGTTTTTTTGGCTTTTTTTCCTCCTCTTTTTTTAGGGCTTTCCCTCGTTCCCTCAGCCCCTTCCTATTCCTCAGCCCTCTCCTGCCTACCCTCAGCCCCCTCAATCCCGTTTCCGCATTTGCCTGTTCCCCTCAGTATCAAAAGTAGCGGCCGGAGAGCGTGAGACACCGCCGCACCGCAGCCAGTGGCAGCCGCCGTAACAACCGTCCCTCGCCTCGCCAGCCAATAGCGGCTGCGCTTACGCTGGCTGAGCACACACGGACCCAGTTCCCCCCGCCGGACTCCGGCCCCGATCCCAACTCGATGGAGCCGGTGGGTTCCTGGGGCTGCGACCGCATTCCCTCCACTTCCTTCTGCCCCTATAGAGTAATTCCATGGCAGAGGAGGAGAAAAATCCCATTTTCTGGGAAAAAAACCCAACCCCTAAACATGGCTTTGGGAATTATTTTTCTCCTTTGTTATAACCAACCAGAAATGGTTGGTTCCATTCCAATGGAACCAGAAGGGGCTGCTGCCCAAACCCCAAATCCCAATGGAACCAGAATAGGTCACAGAAGGGGTGAAATTCAAACCTGGAAGGGAATCACAAACCCTTCACCAAGCCACAGGGTACAATTGTTTTTTGGGGAAAAATGACAGATTTTGGAGTCTGTGCTGTAAGAGATAGTTCTGATGCTCTGCTTCGCTGTCCCAGCTGGAATTTTATGTCCCTGCCTCCCATTCCTTTAAACAAGCACTTGAACCACAGAAACACGGTGCCAAAGGAACTTTAAACCCCAAAAAAATCCACTGAAAGGGAATTTTCCTCCTGCTCCAACCTACAGGAACTTCTGGTGTGGAATAAGAGGATTTGAGCATCTTGAAGGAAAACAACAGCTAAACTTGGGCTCTTGGCCCTGCTGGGATGGTTGGGTTTGGCTTCAGGTGGGTTCAACTGAACTCTACAGGAGTGAACCTGGCGATCCAAAAATACAACCGAGCCATCCCAAAATCCCAACAAGAGCATCCCAGAACACAACAAAAACATCCCCAAATCCAACAGAAACACCCCAAACCCCAACCACGGAGCTCCAGAGGCACACCAAGGCCTGACCCCCATCCCACAGACGCGTCACCAGCGGTGGATCCATCCCATTTTCCTCAGGGGGGGGAAAAAAAACCACCGAAAAAGATCCCCCCCAAAAAACAATCCCAAAAAAAGTTTAATACAACAGAGAGAGTATCAAAACATCGAAGAACACACTAAGTCTGAATTCTCCATGGGGAATGGAGAAGGGCTCTCCCAGCACGGCACAAGCTCCGCGGGCAGTCCTGGCCCCTCAGTCGGTGGCCTCGGGATCCGTCTGTGCCATGTAGGCGTCCAGCTCGGCGTCCAGGTGTCCCTTGGTCTTGGACATGTAGGCATCCAGCTGGTTGTCCAGCTGCTCCTTGGTCAGGGCCGGCCGTGCGGAGCCTCTGCCGCGGCCTCGGCCTCTCCCGCGGCCCCCGAAGCCGCCCCGGCCCCGGCTGGACATGCCGCGACCTGGCAGGGATGGAAAACCAGTCACACCTTCCAGCCAAGGAATTCTCAACTCTGGATTCCCTACCCCAGCCCTCCAGGTGCCCAGAGAGATGGTGGAGCCATGGATACACGCCCAGCTTGCTCCAGTCCCTCTGTGTTTGTCAGTCCAAGAGCTACCGCTCAAAGCTGCTGAAGAATTGGGAGCTTCCCAAGAATTCCTCAGTCCCAGCCCAACCTTAACATCTGGCTGCCCCCACCCCTCCTCCAACAGCTGGCTCCAGGTTTTCCTCTCCCACCCAATTCAAGCCCCTTCTCCATTTTATTGTTAAAAATAACCAGCTCTTGGATAAATGAGCTTTTCAAATTCCAGACTTGGAATTTTAGAGGCTGGAGGTTCCACCCCCCGACCCTGAGCAGGAGAAGGGACTGCAGCTGAACTCCCGTTATCCCTGAGGTCTGGGCACACTCACCTCTGCCTCCGAGCCCCCCTCGGCCCATGGCCCCTCGGCCCAGGCCGCCTCTTCCCGGCCCTCCGCGGCCCCTGAGCCCTCCTCTCCGCAGCCCCATCCGGGGGGCGATCCCCCTCCCACCGCGGAGCAGCCCCTGACCTGTGATGGAACAGCCAAAAAAACCGGGATTCAGGCTGAGGAACAGCCAGGGGGACGTCAGGGCTGCGGGCAGGGGGTGGCACCCACCTCGGAGCGTGGCAGCCCCTCGGATCATGGCCCGGGCACCGCGGCCCCGCAGGGTCCCCCGTGGAATTCCGCGCTGGCCCAGGGCCAGGCCCCGGCCCCCCAGGGCCCCCCGGGCCAGCGCTCCCGCCGGCCGGCCCAGCCGAGCCTGGATGTTGCTCTTCCCGAGACGCTGCTTCAAGCTCTTCTGGAAGAGAGGATTGGGTAGGGAAAAAGCGGAAGTCATGCAGCAATCTGGGATTGGGGACACGACATGAGATGTGGGATAGCACTCCTAAAACGCAGGGCTATGCCTGGAAGCCAGGCCTGCATTCCCAAAACAATCAGCAACTCCTCTGTTTTCCTCGCAGCCAAGGGAGGGTGGAGCTGGGGTGGGGTTTTAAGGGCTGGAGGTGGGACTGTGAGGTGAAGCACTCGGCAGCTCCCGAACCCTGGGATGAGACATTTCTCTGGAAAAATAGAGAGGAGACGTCAACAGCCAGCACTGAACACCCCCATGGCAACAGCAACCACCAGGAGGTGACAAATTACTTATCTGAGGTAAAAAGCGGGATTTTCTGCAAGTCCCTCAAGGTGTCTTGTTTTTAGGATCATAGAATATCCCAAATGGGAAAGGACCCACAAGGATTGAGTCCAACCCCCGGCCCTGCACAGACACCCCAACAATCCCATCGTGTCCCTCGAGCGTTGTCCAAACGCTCCTGGAGCTCAGGCAGCCTTGGGGCCGCGCCCACTGCCCTGGGGAGCCTGGGCAGTGCCCAACCAACTACCCTCTGGGAGAAAAACCTTTTCCTAAAATCCAGCCTAACCCTCCCCTGGCACAGCTCCAGCTGTTCCCTCAGGTCCTGTTCCTGCTCACACGGAGCAGAGATCGGAGCTGCCTCTCAGGAGGAGCTGCAGCCCCCTGAGGTCTCCCACCAGTCTTGTCTCTTCCAGCTGAACAAGCCTCAGTTGCTCCTCGTGTGGCCCCTCCAGACCCTTCCTCATCCTTGTGTCCCTCTTTTTGGACCTTCAAGAGCCTTTTTACAGAATCTCAGAACCCGTGAGGTCGGAAAAGCCCTCCCAGCCCATGGAGTCCAGCCTGTGCCCCATCCCCACCTCGTCCCCCAGCCCAGAACACTCAGTGCCACAGCCAGTCCTTCTCTGGACACCTCCAGGGCTGGGGACTCCCCCACCTCCCTGGGCAGCCCCTGACAAGGCCTGAACACCCTTTCCATGGGGAAATTCCTCCTCATGGCCAACCTGACCCTCCTGTTGGGAGCTGAGAGAAGATCCTCCCTGAGCCTCCTTTTCTCCAGTGATCCCTCACAGGACTCACCCTCCAGCCCCTTCCCTTCTTTATCTCTGAGGAGCTTATTTTCCACATCCCTCCAAGCCCAAAATCCAGCTTTTCCTCACCTGTTTGAGCTTCAGAGCAGCCTGGACAGACGGTCTGTTCTCCATCTGCTGGGCCAGGCGTCTGTTTCTGGCGCTGGCCAGCTGCTGCTGCTGCATGGTGGCCCGAATATTCACCGGCATCGGCTGTTTGTTCTTCAGCATGTTAGTGAAGCTTCAAGGTCGAATAAAACGGGGTTTAATTAAAGCTTAAAACACACAATTACTGGCATTTCACGGTGCTCGAGTGGGTCTCCAGCTCCCATGAACCTTATGCAAAGAGTGGTACTTTTATGGGATTACGGATTCCTCGCTTGCCACGAGGACTGGAAAAGGTAGGAATGAGGTGGAAGTTCAGTCAGGATGAGAAAGCTGGAGGTTTAGTGGGTTTAGAGGTGGCAGAAGGGGTGACAACCAGCAGGAAGCAGGGATGGCCATGACAGGTGGGAGAAACGGGACAGCAAAAGCCAAATTAACCCCCCAAAATCCGGGAAAAGCTTAAAAACTCCAGGCCAGGAGGCAGGTTAGAAGGACACTGTGCCCTGAAATGCCTGGTGTGCTCTGGTGCTGCGGGAACCAGGTTGGAAATGATCACTTTAAAGGCTTTTCCAACATTAAATAATGCCACGATTCTACAAAATTCCACCACCCAAAGCACCTCCTAATTTCCACCCAACTGTTTTCCTGAAATGAGGCACTTGAGAATTTGTTTGGTGCTTTTAGTGCTTAATTTAAGAGCAAGCACACAGTGAGATGGTAAATAAAGCCCCTGAACAGCATCCTGGGAGCTGAAGAGTGGAATAAATCCCCTAAAAATGAGGAATATGGGCTGATGTGCCAGTAAGCTCAGCCTACAGCTCCCTGCAGCGCTGCTGGAGCAAGAACTGCCCCAAAACTTCTCAGTCGTAAGAGAATTAACCCCAAAGTGCTCAGCAGGGCAGCGAGACACCTGTTAGTTGTCACAGAGGAGCCACACGTGGAAAACCAGCGGAATGACCCACGGGAAGAGCGCGAGGACAGAGGAGAGATGGAGGTGAAGCGAAGCATTTGCCTCTTACAAGGCCCAAAGAGCCTTTGGGCTGGTTCCAGGGGCCACCACCGGCCTCTTACAGGGCTCACCCGGGCAGGTGGGACCCTCGGGCGCGGCGGCCGGGCCAAAATACCAATGTCAAAAACATGTGGGAGAGACAGGGAGGGTGCGTGAGGTTGGTCTCTGCTCTTACAACACATCCCACCACATTTCCGTGGCACGCGAACATTAAACCACGGAGCAATCCCTCCGCAACTGGGCCCTTTTAACCCGCTGTGCCACCGGACCTGGAGGCGAAGGCAGGTGTGGAGGCACCTGCTCGCTCGACGAGGTTAAAAGAGGGCGGGACCCATGGTGGGCTTGGATTTGGGCAGTGAGAATTAAGTATAAAAACATGGTTTCTTAGGAGCTGAAGGTGCCGTTGGCTTCCTCACCGCTCGTTCAGAGACATCTTGGTGGTGCTCTTTAGCACGACCTTCGGTGCTGACTGTGCAGCCATCTTCAGAGAATCTGCAAAACAGGGCCAAAAGGGAAAATTTACACCTTTATTCTACATTTCTACTGTTAAATATTAAATAATCCCTCCATTTTTGCCCCTTGAGTGGAGAAAAAACCAACCTACCCCACTCCTATGTGTAATATATTATTTTTAGTGTTTTCTAGCCCTTTGCCAAAATTTTTAGGTTCTGATTGTGATGATTTTAGAGACTGTGTGATTTTTTAATGTTTTGTAGCCCCCCTGCCAGTTTTAATAAATCAGGGAGCTACTTTAACTCATCCTTACCAAAAATTTATCTTTTTGTAGTGAATATTTTGCCAATATTAAGAATAGTAATACAAAAATCCAGCAGCAAGATGGCAATCAAGTGGCACCTTCAGATAAAAATTTGCCAAACAAAGCCAAAAATATCAAAATTATACGATTATATGCTTATATGGTTAAACGTTAAAAAATTCTCCATTCTGGGTGGAGAGAACTGAGAGGCAGGTTATGGGTATTATAGTAACAGACTTTTAGTATTTTCTAGCCCTAATAAATCAGGGAGTTACTTTATTTTACCCTTACTAAAAAGGTGTCTTACAGTGAATATTTTCCTGTTATTTGGGGTAATAATACAAAAATCCAGCAGCAAATGGCAACTAAATGCCTTTAGCAGAGTAACACCTCCACATTTCCCACGTTTTTAGCATCAGTAAGAGGCAAATCCCAATTTTAAGGGCACAGGGCGTAAAATCGGGAATAAAAATCCAAGATTATGCTACACAAGCATCATATCCTTTAAAAATACCGAGCGAGGTTCCACCCGACTCAGGGCAGGGATTTAAATCCCCCTCAGTGCTGGATGCTACGGAAACATGCCGAGCTCCAACCCCCGAGCTCTGCAGATCGATTTATTAATTTATTTTTATAATTAGCACCAAATTTAACGGGTGGGTGACCGGGCCGCGCTCACCCTACAACACCCTTAAAACCTCGCTTTTTGGAGAGGATTTACAGCCAGAAATCGAGCCAACCGGCAGCCTCGCTTCTCATTTAATTATTTTTAATAATTTTAGTGGGCTTTTAAAAATATAAAGTGGTTTTTTAAGCGGTTTTTTTTCCTGAGTGACCGTCGCGGGGGTATCCCCGCTCCGCCCCCGTCAGCCCCGAGAACAGCTCCGGGCACGGAGCCGGGGGAAGAGGGCCCCCCCCCCCAGAACCCTGAGGGGACCCTCCGGAGCTCTAAGGGGGCCCCGAGGCCTGTCCCGCCCCCTTCCCCCCCCCCCGCAGCCAGGGCAGTCTCTCACCGAAGCAGACGGTCGCCAGGTCTCCGGTGGCTCCGGCGGGCGGTCAGGTGTTAGTGGGGCCGGTGCGGGGCAGGCGCGGGGCGGGGGCCGGGGCCGGGGCCGGGGCTGGCGCTGAACTCCGCCCGCTCCCGCCGCCGCCGCCGCTTCTCCCTCAGCCGCCCGCGACAAAATGGCGGCGGCGCTGCTCCCGCCCCCCCGAAATGGCGGCCGCGCGCCCGGCCACGCCCAACGCTCGCGAGCCACGCAAGGAGAGCGCTGATTGGTGTTCCCCCGGGGAAAGGGGGCGGGGCAGATGGGGGGGGGGAAACTATGGTATCCATGGACGTCATATTGACGTGATGACGTCACGTGGATCGGGTGTCGTCATGGAATCCTGGGAGCAGGGAATCATGGGATTGTGGAATGGTGGAGTCATACAATCATGGAATCATGGAGTCGCAGAATCATGGAATCACAGAATTCTGTGGAATCACGGAATTGCAGTAGCATCATCACAGAATCAAGGAATCAGGGATTAATAGAACCATGGAATCACAGAATCATACAATTATGTAATTCTGGAATCATACAGAATCATGGAATCATGGAATATCCTGAGTTGGAAGGGACTCAAAGAATCGTCCAGTCCAGCTCCTGGCCATGCACAGGATCCCCCCAAAAACCCCACCAAAACCCCACCAAAATTCCAACCTTGGAATGTTGCCCAGGTGCTCCTTGACCCCTGGGGACTCCATTCCCATTCCCCTCTGAGGGCAGACCCTTTCCCAATCCCACCCCAGCCCTGCTGTGCTGGGATTCCTGGCAGATGATGGCGCTGGTGGCCCTGGCAGGGCCATTGGCTCCCAGCCCATCCCACTGGGATCCCAACCGGTTCCTCCAGCCTCACGGGTGTGGTCCTGGAGACTCCGGAGGCTCCGACAGCGAGTCCTGACCTGTCACCCCCCAGATCCCGGTGTCCCCGTGTCCCACATCCCAACACTGCCCGGGATCACCTGCTCCCTGGGGCGATCAAGGATGGATTTCAGGCTCCCTGGATGGATCAGGGTGGAGCCAGGGATGTCTGCAGGCACTTGGGGTGACCCTGGGTGGCTTGGGAGAGGGAAAACTCCCTGGAATCCCTGGAGGCTCTCGGAGGGGGACGCTGGGAATGAAGGAGCTGCCAACACACCCGGGCTGGGTCGGTGCCTTTATTGTGGAGCTGGATCCCGGCGGGATCCCCTGGGAATGCTGGGGAGCAGAGAGGGGGTGGCGGGGGAGGGTCTGGATTTTGGGAATGCCGTGTGTGCAGGGTGGGAGCACAGCAGGTCAGGCGTTCTCCCAGAAGAAGGTGTTGCAGGCCACGGTCAGGGCAGCCACCAGGACCACGAACTCCTGGAAATCCACCTCCCCGTCGCCGTTCTCATCCAGGTCCTGCATGATCTTCTCCACGGCCCCCGTGTCCTTTTGGGTCTGGTGGGGGGGCACAGGGTGAGCACAGGGGGAAAGAGGGGAAGGGGAGAGCCCCCCAGTGCTGCAACTGGTCCCAGTTACCTCCAGGAAACATCCCAGCTCGCTCTGCAGCAGCTCCTTGAGCTCCTTCTTGCTCAGCTTGTACTTGTCCCCCTCCTTCCCAGAGTAGTGGTGGAAGACGTTGATGAGGGTCTCCATGGCCCCTTCCAGCTGTGACGCCATGGGTCTGGCTGTGGGAACCACCCCCCCGTCATGGGGGGCACCCACCAGCCCCCCTTCAATGACACGCCCCCCAAATGTCACCCACCCCCTGCCCCGTCCCCTTCCCGGCAGCGTTTCCTGGTCCCGCTGGGCAGGGATCGACACTGAGGATCTGGGGGTCCCCGGGCATCCTGGTACCCCTCAGGGTAGGGTGGGGGGCTCGTCCGAGGGGAAAAGACCCCATGCACCTGCCCCACTTTCAGTGTGCCCACCCTGTTCCCCCTCCCATTCCCGGCAGCGTCACGTTGGTCCGGCTCCCGTCCCTCGTCGCTGTGCAGGGATCAACACTGTGGATCTGGGTGTCCCAGGGCATCCTGGGCATTCCCAGGGTTGGGTGGGGGGCTCCGGGGTGCCGGGATGACACCCCCTCCACCTCCCCCCTCACAGGGCAGCCCCCAAACGTCACCCACCCCCTGCCCTGTCCTGGTCCCTCTGCTCACTCTGCGCTGGGCAGGGACTGACACTGCAAATCTGGGGGTCCCACGGCACCCTGGTGCCCCCCAGGGCTGGGTGGGGGGCTCCTCCGAGGGGGAGGGACCCCATCCACCAGCCCCCCTTCCAATGACACCTCGCTCCCTGCCCTGTCCCCTTCCCGGCAGCGTCACGTTTGTCCTGTCCCTCGGTGCCGGGCAGGGATCGACCCATGGGATGTGGGGGTCCCTGGGCTGGGTGGGGGGCTCCTCTGGGATGGGGGGACCCCTCCCCTGCCCCTCACAGGCCACCTGTGCTCACCTGAGCTCCCCGTGCTGCGAGTGCTCCCAGACGGGGCCGCCGGGGACGCTAAATAAGCTCCAAGCCCCCTCCCTCCGGGAGGATCCGATACCGGGGCTGGACAGCCCGGCTGGCACCACCGGCCACCCCCACGGGGGCTGAGACCTGGGGGGCTGGACCCCCGGGATGGCACCAGGACAGCACCGGGAAGCACTTCCAGCCCCACTGGAGCTTGTGGGGTTCTGATGGGAAGGGATGGGGTGGGCACGGCGTCACTTTGAGGGGCTCAGTGCCCTCCTCATGTGTCCCTCACCACCCCCAGGGATGAGTCTGGACCCCTAGAATGGCACTGGGATGGCTCTGGAAAGTACTTCCAGCCCCACCGGAGCTTGGGGGGTTCTGGCAGGAAGGGATGGGGTGGGCACAGCGTCACTTTGGAGGGCTCAGTGCACCCCCATAGATGAGCCTGGACCCCTGGGATGCTGGGGAAGTGTGGGGTGGGCATTGGGTCGCTGTTAGGGTCAGTCCCACCCTAGGCTCATGTCCCTCATGTCTCTGGTGTCCCTGGTGTCCTTTGCGTCACCACAGACCCCTCGTGTCCTGAGCGCCCGGGGTCTGACCCCGCGGGGTCCCCCTGGCATCCCCCATCTGTCAGCGGTGCCGTTGGTGCCAAGACTGTGCCCAGCCCTTGTCCCAGGGCTGGAAAGGGATCCGGTGTCCTGGGCCCTGACACGGGAGCCGGCGGGGCCGGGGGGAGCCGAGGGGGCTATCGGGTGACTCCAGCGCGTCCCCCGGGGCCCCCCGAGCGCTGAAAGGCCTCTTGTCACTCTCAAAAGGCCCCACAATTCCAGCCCGGACGTTGCTCCAGCAACGCCTCGGCCAAGAAACCAGATTCCCGAGCCGGCCCTGGAAATGCTGATAATCCGGGCTCCCATTACGGCCCCGGATCCGCACAGGCTGGACCCCCACGGCCTGCCCGGCTCCGGTGGCCCCGCGGGAGCTCGGCCTCCAAAATCATCATCCCCCCTCTTGGAGACCCCCCACACAGGGATTGGGACCCCCCACAGGGGCTGGAATCTCCCTCCAAGGATTGAGACCCCTCACAGGGATTGGGATCTCCCTCCAAGGGTTGGGAGCCCCCAGAGAGGGGCTGCCGGGAGCTGCTTTTCGCAAGAGCGGGGTGATGCCAGGCTCTTTATCCCAAATTCCAGCCCTAATTTGGGGCTAATTATATCCTGCTCCCTCCTTTCCATCTCCTGCACTTCCTGTCCCTGGGGTTGGGAAATGCCCAGGTCGGTCCCCACTCAGGGACCCCAAAACCACAGTGAGATCACCTGACACCACTGTGTCAGGGAGGAGGGGGACTGGAGGGTTTGGGGTCACATGCAGGGTCCTGGGGGTCCCCTGTCCTGTTCCTGAGGCAGGTGAGGGGGGTGTGAAGGGGGTTCCTGGGTGGAGTTGGGGGTCCCGGATGGAAGTGGGGGTCCCAGATGGAAGTGGGAAGTCCTGAATGGAAATGGGGGTCCTGAACGGAAATTGGGTGTCCAAGACAGGGGTGAGGGTCCCAGATGGAAGCGGGGATCTCAGATGGAATTGTGAGTCCCAGATGGAAGTGGGGGTCCCAGTGGAATGGAGGTCCCAAAGGGAAGCTCAGGAGCTGCTTCCCAGCAGGACACAGCTCCCATTTTTGCTGTGGGGCAGGAAGGGGGGCCTGGAGTTTTGGGAGAGGCCAAATCCAGAGCCTGGGAATGGGGGGAATGGGAAGCAACCGGTGGCACTCACTCAGTGTGTCCCTGTCCCCCGGATCCGGCTGCTCCTTCCGGGAAAGCCCGGCTCTGGGACTGCCCAGCTGGGGAACAGCTGCCTGTGACGGGGCCAGCAATCCCCCAGAAATAACCTGGCCCTGGTCCCTGCACCGGGCACGGGGACATGGCCAGGCTGTGGGACCAGAGGGCTCCCATGAAGCCCAAACCCTCCCGGAGAGCAGGACTTGGGACCAGCTAGGAGAGCCCCAGCACTGCTGGGGGGGCATCACTGGGGTTTTGGGGGGTCCCGTGGTCGCTGCAGTGAGGGGAGATCACGCCTGGCTGGCACATTCCCAGGACAAGCTCCTTCCAAAGCAGGAGCAGTGAGGCTGTGCCAGGAACAGCCTGGAACAGGTTCCAGCTGCTGTGAGTCCCTGAGCTCCCTCCAGCCCAGCTAAACCAGTCGCTCCAGTTACCTGGGCCGGGCCCATCTTATCTCTCAGTCCCAGCACTGGGACGGGGAAGAGGCTTTTCCATCCCTGGGCTTTGGAATGGCAGGAACTGCTGCGGCCGCACTGGGGGCACTGGGATGGCACTGGGATGGCACTGGGATGGCACCCGGTTTTGCCCCACAGTCCCCTCCAGTGGAGCTGGGGGGGCCCATGGTGGGCACAGTGGCTGTCCCTGGTTAGGGTCCCCAACTCTGGGAGGTTGTGGACAACCCCAGGACAGCACACAGAGGTGACACCAACCCCTGGGAGGCACGTGGTCACTTTGCCACATGGAGTCCTGCGGTCCTATATGGCCCTGGTCCCTATATGGCCCCTGTCCCCATATGGCCCCAGTTCCTATACGGTCAATGTCCCTATATGGCCCCAGTCCCTATATGGTCCCTGCCCTTATATAGCCCCTATCCCTATATGGTCCTTGTCCCTGTCCC